TAGGGGTAAGCAGAAAAAGTCTGCTAACCAGCCTCGACCCTTTTCTTCATCTATTAGGCTGGTGTAGATGTAACCTGTGTTACATTGTATCCTGCCTAGGATGATGAATGCTGGATCTCCTTGATTCTACTTATAGAATTTTGTTTATGCCTCCTTGATAATGGCTATGCAACTCTTCCTGTTATCTCCATATGAGGGTACAGCTCTAAAACTCAGTTTAATGGTTCTGAGGCCGGCTGGTAGTAAGGTTTCCCAAACTCTGTGGTAGCTCTCAAAGAGACTGATTCCATCAACAGCTGCAAAATATCAGAGTATTAACAGTGCCATGTTGCGCATGGATGGTGTCCCTGTTAATGCTTTTGGTGTGCATTGTCAAGGCCACATAAGGAGCCCTATGTCACGGCTTAGGGTAAATTAACAGGACTGAGACAACTGCATAGTTCATTGATTAGAAGGCTGTGCTCTATCTATGAATGAGTCAAGTTCTCATGAAACCCAAATCACGACCAAAGTAACCAAAAATTTAAAACCTAAAAAACCATCCCCACCACCTTAATGTTTTAATATATCTTTTACAAATATTCACGGTCTGCGAAGCAACTTTCCGTCAGTTGAGTCTTACCTCCTGCAAAATTCACCAGACTTGCTTGCACTCAGTGAAACAAATTTAAATTCTGCAATTCCTTCTTCAGATGTCAGTGTTGATGGGTACTATCCTTTGATTCGTAAAGACTCCAATAGTCACATGCTAGGTTTTGGGGTATACATACGCATTAATTCCCCTATTTGTTGTGAAATCAGGTTCGATTCCTTTGACCATTCTTTTATGTGCTTTCGCCTAGCACCTCTTCACTCTATCACCTTTCTCTTTGTTCTTTATCGTTATTCTTCTTTTCATGATTGCACTCTTTTAGATGTTATCTCTGATCAAATTGACCATGCTCTCTCTCTTTACCCCTCTGCCAATATTGTTGTTGTTGGTGATTTTAATGCCCATCACACTGAATGGCTTGGCTCTAACACCACTGATCCTGCTGGCACTAAAGCCTTTAACTTCTGCGTTTCTCAATCTCTTACTCAGATAGTTAACTTTGTGACTCGTTTTCCTGACAACCCTAATCATTTACCTTCTCTCCTTGACTTATGTCTTGTCTCTGACCCTAGCTTATGTTCAGTTTCCCCCTTTTCTCCCTTAGGTGGTTCTGACCATCCAATGATCTCTATAAATCTTTCTTCTCGTACTTCTTTTTTGGGCTCACCTTATCATCGCACCACCTACTACTACCCTAAAGCTGACTGGGATTCTTTTCTTGATTTTCTTTGTGATGGTCCTTGGGCTGATGTTTTTTCTTTCTCAGCTGATAAATGCGCCTCCTACGTAACCTCCGGGATTCAGGCTGGAATGGAAGCTTTTATTCCTTCTCGTCGGTTTTAAGTTAAGCCTCATTCTACTCCATGGTTTTCTCCTTCTTGTGCGGCTGCTATATCCAATCGTAATCATTTTTTTCATCTTTTTCAAAAGAACAACTCTCTTGAGAACAAACGGCTATTTATTATTGCAAGAAATGGATGTAAAATGGTGCTTTCTGATGCTAAACTCAATTTATTTCAGTTTACTAAATCTCGCATCTTATCACAGAAGTTAGGCTCTAAAGACTTTTGGAAAATCTTCAACAGCATTATTAACAAGGGTAGATCTAACATTCCATCTCTCATTCATGGGACTGATCTTATTACCTCTCCTAAAGATAAGGCAGAACTATTTGCAAAGAACTTTTCTTCTAATTTCACTCTTTAATCTTATGGACATTCTCTTCCTTCCATTCCAGTCAAACAGGTTGACCCATTGTTAGATATTTAAATCACTCCGGCTTCTGTTGCTAAAGTCATATCTCAATTAAACTCGTCTACAGCTTGTGGTCCTGACAACATTCCTGTCACAGTCTTGCACAATTGTTCTCCAGAACTTTCTTCAATTCTCCCTAAACTATTTAACAAGTGTTTGACTGAGTCTTGTTTTCCTGCTTGTTGTAAAATAGCATCTGTGGTTCCAATATTCAAAAACTCTGGAGATAATTCTGACCCCTTCAAATATCGTCTGATCAGTCTTCTTTCTATTATTAGCAAGGTCTTTGAGTCTTTATCAACAAATTCCTCACATCTCATCTTGAGTCAAATAAACTACTGTCAGACAATCGATACGGTTTTCGATCCTCTCGCTCTACGGCCGACTTGCTAACTGATGTAACTGAAAGATTTTATCGTGGATTAGATGGAGGCGGTGAGGCTAGGGCTATTGCTCTCGACATATCTAAAGCTTTCGACAAAGTTTGGCATGCTGGTCTTCTCTATAAGCTTGCTTCATATGGTGTTTCTGGGAAAGTTTTTGAGATTATCAAATCATTTCTTTCTAACCGGTTTATTAAAGTCATCCTTGAAGGCCAACACTCTTCTTTATTTCCAGTAACTTCTGGGGTTCCCCAAGGTTCCATCCTGGGCCCTGTTTTGTTTCTTATCTAAATAAACGATCTTCCTGACAACCTTTCATCTAAAGTAGCTCTTTTTGCTGATGACTCAACTTTATACTCCTGTCTTGACAAAAAGTCTTCTCTTTTCGATCGTCTAGAACAAGCAGCTGATCTTAAATCCGATCTCACTTCAGTAATAGATTGGGGTTCACAGTGGCTTGTGAATTTCAACTCTAACAAAACCCAGTTGTTTACTGCAAACAACTACCGTAATATGGTCAACATTTCTATATTAATGAATGGCAATTCTCTTGTTGGTGGTTAGAATTAGAGTAAATGTACCTTATTTGATTATCAGGTTTAAAATATGGTTGAAACGTATCGTTACTTAGATTTAACGTAACATCGAGGTAGTTAACAATTTTTAAATTAGATTGAATGGTGATTTGAAGATCGTTTTTTTTTAAAATGAGTGCTATGTGCTTTTTGATTTTTTCCATTTGCTGACCGTTTTTGTTCTTGAATACAGCAAGACCGTCGTCACGATATAAGCCGAAATTTTCTTTATTATAATGTTGTGAAATTTGATACAGTATGAAAATACCTATTAATTTGCAAACTTCAGCACCATCAAATGCCCCCATTGTTACATCGAACAACCCACCTCTTTTTTTAATCCATGCTTCATCGTTGTTGAAGATAAGAGATTTTCTTGCATGTTTAAGTTCTTCACCTGACAATTCTTATAACTGCAAATCGTCAATGAGAAAGGCATTAAATAAGTAGTTAATTATATTAACTTTTTTTTTTAATATTGTTGCTTTTGCATAATTTGGGTTTTATATCAATCAACATATTTAGGACAAAACAGGCTCTTCTAAAGTCTCCAAATAAAAAACAAACTATTGTAGAGCAGTTGGGAGCTGAATATGGGCTATGTATTACTAAAGAAACAGAGCGAGTTTACTTTACATCAGAAGAAATTGAAAAAGTAAAAACTTTTTATGAAAGAGAAGATATATCAATCATGTCTCCTGGAAGAAAAGATTGTGTTAAAATTGGTGGAAAAAAAATCTAAAAGTGCTACTTAGTTATGAATTTAAAGGAGCTGCATCAACTGTATTGTAAGGAGAGTGCTGGCAAAACAATTAAATTATGTTTTGTGAATTAAGGCCTACATACATTCTTACATGCAAAGACACACCACTTGAAACATGTGGTTGTGATTATCACAGTAATTTTACTTATTTGTGTGCTGCTTTAGCAAGTAAAATACCTTTTTCATTGTATTGCAATAAATGGTTAGAAAATTATGTATTGTGCAAGCCCCCTACGTACAAATGCTGGATTATGAAATGTTCATTATGTAGTGATAGCAAATTATTATGAGTTTCTTTGCTCGAAAACGGAGACTTGGATATATTAATTACCTATAGTTGGTGGATAAAAGAAGATCATCGCTGCATACTCAGTCAACATAGAAAAAACATAAAAGATATTTTTTCTAACATTTTCTAACATTTCTAACATTTCCGTAACTATTTACCAGAGTTTACCGAGCATCATCATACTAAAAAGCACCAGTCTGAACAATACCGCAGTGAAAAAGAAAATCTCGAACCAGACCAAATTTTGGTACACTTCAATTATTCACAAAACTATACATGTGGTTATCAGGATGCTGTTCAAGCATTGGTCGCAGTCAACTATTACCTTTTTTACAGTTGTAATCTACAGTTACCAATTAGAGCCAAAATCAATTGTACTTATATCCGACGATAATGATAAAACAAAACGTGCCACTACTACATACTTAAGTGAAATATTTTACCTCTATTGCATAGATTATGTAAAAAAAGTTATATTATGGAGTGATGGTCCTTGCACTCAATTAATAAATAGATACATGGCCAAATTCATACAACATTACACTGTTAAATATCATTTTCAGAGTATAGAATGGAATTTCTTTGCTACCTCTCATGGTAAAGGAGCAGTTGATGGAGTAGGAGAATCCTTGAAGCGATATGTTTGGGAAATTTCGGGAATTTGTCGTCTTAAACGCTAAAGACTTCCTTTTAGCATTAAATGGGTGCAAAACTTATGTTAGGCTTATCAACACTGATGATATTAATCTAAAGTGGGCCTTAATAGCCAACGAAATAGAAAAAACAAAACCCGTTAAAAATATTACCAAAACGCATTTCTGGCAAATAAAAAATGGAAAATTAATAGTTTTAAAATTTTCTAACATTTTTAAATTTTTTTTTTAAACAAATATACTTAGTAAAAGAAATTTACTTGTCTATTATAATTATTTATTTAACCTATGTTTCAAGCAGGAGAATAAAAGGGCATTAAGCATTTGTTGTGTAACCCAAATAAAAGTAATATGATCATACCCAGTTATCATTATATATATATATATATATATATATATATATATATATATATATATATATATATATATATATATATATATATATATATATATATATATATATATATATATATATAATGCATTATTTTTAGCAAAGTTTAACAAGGATAAAATGTATAAGTGCCCGTTGCCATGTAAAATTGATTTGTATGGAGTGAGCTTATCTCGAGCATTGTTTCCGACTACCCAATATTCTAGCATACTTGCTGAACAGTTTCGCAAACAGCCTCATGTTTTAAATATTGTACACAATATTACTGATGAGCTCTTATTTATGAGGTAGTTATTTGCTTTAAAGTATATTAATTTTCTTTTATTGAGTAATTGTTTTTATTTTAAGGTATTTTTTCTTTTTTTTTTTTTTTGTTAATTTACTATTCAAATAAATCTACTCAAATATATTTATCAAATATTTTATCAAATAAATTTACTCCTAACAATGCTGCAAGCTACCACTGTTAGCAAAAATTGTTAAGTCAGTTCCCAAGAAAACCTGTGAAAGCTTATGACTCTGGAATTTCAATATTATTTTTTTAAATGTAAAAATTTAAATCACTTTCTTCAAAAAAATTTGTTTTAAAAGTTTCTTTGATTGAAATGAGAAATGGAAGCATCTCTAAAATTTGGCATTATTAAAGTATTTTCAACAATTTTTTATCATTAATAAGATTTTACTCATTAAAAGTTTGAAACTTTTGGCACGTTTTTCAGAAGCAAACCCCTGTAAAGTAAACATTTTTTATAGCTTCTGTAAAAAAACACAAAAATTCAGCAAGAAATCAATTAAAGAAATTATGATGAAAGTAAAAAAGTCTAAGCTTTTAAAAAGCAAAAGACAAAATCTTTTTAATTTGAAGTCTTATATGTCACAAATAGGTTAATAGACATCTCACAATGTTTTCAGAGAAAAAAATTCTATTTATATTATATATATAAATTGTCTATGGTTGACAAGTCAAATTTGATGATACAAGCATTCCTCCAGGTGTTTAAAACATCTAGAATTGCTTTATAAAAATGTAATGATGGTCATCAATTTAAACTGCCACAGCTTAATCAGTTTAAAATCAATGTTGTTAAAACACCTAAAAATGTATACATATATATATATATATATATATATATATATATATATATATATATATATATATATATATATATATATATATATATATATATATATATATATATACATATATATGTATATATATATACATATATATACATATATATATATATATATATATATATATATATATATATATATATATATATATATATATATATATATATATATATATATATATATATATATATATTTATTAAATATATACTTTACATGCTCTAGGTCCGTCTGGACTGGTTAATGACTTATATAACAATCGATTCTGCTGTTAGACATAGAATCAACAGTAAACAATTTCTCATTTGAGAATAGGATGGCAGTGGTCTCTTTTTCAAGAGGTTTAGAATTTTTTTTGATCTTTTTTCTTGAACACTTGGAGAAACCAAATATTTTTAATTCTAAATTTTGACTTTGCCAGAGCTCTATAGGCATTTTCCTTATTGACCTTAATGAATTCAAAGAAAGTCAACCATTGATGGTCTGGATCAATTGTGAATTTTAAATTAATCTTTTTAAACATTTTTTATGTATCAACACTAACAAACTCAGTGTGTAAAAATGCCAACAGAATTTTTGATTTTATAAATTTAATATTTATAGAATAATTATAATAGATATCTAATTATATTATAAATACCAAAATACCAAAAAGTTTTATTTAAAAGACAAAGATTTTAATAATTTTCTTTTAGAACCTTTTTTTGAAGAATTGCATTTCTTATATATTCCTGGAAAATTCCATGTAGAAGGAGAGTATTCATTCCAGTCATCCCTCAGATTTTCCTTAAACTCTAACCAGTGTTACCTATTAATGAAATGTGAAAAAATGTAAACTCCCAAATCCAAGCGGTTCAAAAGTTAATATTTTAAAAATTAGCCTTAAACACCTTTTTTTTTTTATCAAGTCATGGGCGATATTTTAGTCATTGACTTTAAAAGATATTTCAGGTTTCAGGTTGACAAAAGGTTTTTTGCACAGAAGTGACTCTTGCAGATTCTTATCTAATTACCCATCCACTTCGCCAGAACGGCTGGCTTTGAGAGAGACTTCATCATCAAACTGAATCCAAATTTTTAAAAACAATATAGAATATCCTAAAACCAAAAAATGCCATTTCTAAAATGAATTTTGATACAGAGTAGCAAGAAATGACAAATAAGTAAGAGGAGATGGCTTATATACTCTCCAGAAACTGACTCAGCTTATTGTCTTCCTTAACACGTTTGATTCAACTCCATAATCATATTTTGGGAAAAAAGAAGGTTTTAACAACTAGAAAAAGTTTACAGAGCAACTCTAAAAGAGATCTCCATCTCATTTCAGTTGCTATGATGGATTGAAATAACAATCAAGATAAAAAATGAACAAGCTGTCAATCAAAGTCTTATTCCAACAAATTAATACAGAACGGTGGTGAAGCATTTTTAAGAAAATAGCGATTTTGCACTTGGCAGAGACAAAATTGCATTCAATGGAAGCTCATCAAAGCTGTACACCAAAAATAATGAGAACTTCCTTGGTCTTATACGATTACTTATTCAATTTTGATACAATTTTGATGGAGAATTTACGACAAATGGAGATGGAGAAAAACGTTCACAAATGCCATGTGTCGTATTTAAAACCATATCATTAACCTCTTAGCTGTGCATGTAAAAGAAGCTATTGTGAGCAAGGTAAAGTGTTGATAGTATTTTTTAGTTATTATGGATTGCACTCTAGACCTTAGTCAAAAAGGCCAAAAACTTTCTAATCATCCGCTATGTTCATGAAGTAAATAAAGCAATTTCCAAAAAAGTCATTGTCCAAGAAAGTTTTATTGAATATACAGTGTGTGAAGAGTCGACTGGTAAAGCTCATGTCAAGCTTTTAATTGAAGAACTAAAATCTTTTAGGCTACACAACTGTAGTGGTTAAAGCTATAACAACGGGTCTAATACGGTTGCAATTCAAAAAGGTGTTCAAGCTCGATTTTTAGCAGAATACCCACAAACCTTATTTACACCCTGTTTTTACAGCTTGAATTATATCAGACGGGGCTAAATCATTTGGTGAAGTCTATATTGCTGTTTGGAGTTTTTCAAAAAATCTCTACAACATTTCTGCATTAATGAAGCGTTGGCCACTTCCCTAGCACAAAAGAGTCTTTCAAAAATGATGTTTTTTTGCCTCTAATTGACATAATTAAATCATTTTTAGACAGTTTCTCCACACAGCGGCCTTGTTTGTCAAGGTTCGTATTTCAGAGTTGTAGAGTTGAGAGAGGGTTATAATTACAAATAAGTAGCCTCCTTGTCTGTAGTGGCCTTCTTGGCCTTGAGGAGGTGAATTAAAAAAAAGAAAACACTATTACCGTTAGAACCACTCAATAAAATCAAAAACACAGACAGAAAAGACAATGACAGTGGCTAACAGTGAACATAGTTTCAGCAAGCTAGAGTTAATGAAAACCTCCCTATGTACATGGATGGCGCAAACTTGCCTTTCAACATAGAGGTTTTGCTGTATCCAAGTTGATTTCACAAAAATAAAGAAAAAAAATTGTTATTAAAACAATTTAAAGTTAAAAATTTTATGGCATTTCATTGTAGAAAAGTTAAAAGTAAGGTTAAGTATAGCTAAAATAGAACTTGGCTGCCAAGAATTTTATTATTGTAATTCTCAACACTTTCATTTTGCAAACTTGAGAAGTAAAAATTGTCACTACTTTAAATATCTTCTTAAACTTTGTAATAGAGATTATATGGATTGCAGCAACATGTTAATTTGGTTGCATAATTCTACAAATAAACATGTTTATGATGGAGACATCTTGTTGATTTGACATTGATTTTTGATAGCTCAGTCCTCCAGATTAATATTTCAATATTTCATAGAAGTTTAAACTTTACATTTTTTTATGTTTCATTTAAATCACTGTATATGTAAAGTACGATAAAAAGTAGAGTTTTGTAATAATGTTTTTGAGAGGCTTTTGCAATTATACAGAGATATAGAAAATCAAGGTATAATCATGCCATTAAATTGTTCTTAACAGAATACCCAGATAAAAAGTACGATAAAAGTAGAGTTTTGTAATAATGTTTTTGAGAGGCTTTTGCAATTATACAGAGATATAGAAAATAAAGGCATAATCATGTCATTAAATTGTTCTTAACAGAATACCCAGACAATCATATTTATTATCAGATATTCTTTCTAGAAATAATTAGGCAAGAAAGTAAATTTTGGGTTTTTATTTCCTAAGAATAATTAAAAAAAAAAAATGTTTGAAAATTGAAATTTTGTTGGATCTAATATCTTTTAGAATTAGTACAATATTTTCTTTACGGAATAAAATTCATAGTTAAAAACATTGTTGAATATTATTTATACTCTAGCAAGGTCTTTATGCAAAATGATAAATATGAAAATAGGGCAGGTTTAAAATTAAAATAACACTTTTACCTACTTTTACATTGAATTACCATCCTACCTTTTCAAAATATTTTGTTTAACAATACGTTTATAAAGTACATTAAAGTCTTGTTCTACGATATGTTTTTACTGATTACTTTAAATTTTTTATTTTTTACTTTAAATTAATTTAACATTCAGTTAATATAAGTACAGTTTTTAATTTTAAAATTTTCAGAGATAATTTACTTCGTTTTATTATTTATTATGATGATTTGTCGTACGAGGTACTTGAACAGAAACCAAGTTATGAAACATTAGTCTGGTTAGGTAAGTTTTATTTTTGTTGCTTATTGGTTTTGTTAATATTAAGGTTGTTATTATTTTGTTATTATACTATATTTGTATCATTTGAATCACGCCTCCGTTTTAAATTAAACTCAAAACGTAAGAGTTAACTATAAGAATTAACTTTTTTTAAAGTAAAACAATTTAATTTAGTTTTAACTTTTAAAAAAGTTAATTCTTACAGATTTTATTAGTTTATGCCATTTTGAGATTTTAAAGAAAATAAAATTTTATCTTTAAGTTCCTTTTTAAGTTCCTTTTAAATTAAATTTTTTTTCTGATTAGAGTTAAAGTTCTGGCTCAGAACTAGGAGGTTCTGAGGTTTCAATCCGGCTCTAATCCAATAAGCGACATTGGTAAGTTAGGCGTGAACTTCCTTATTTAATGCTCTTGCGGTACTCTGTGATAAGACCGTAAGGACTTCTAAGAGCACCTTAATAACTTAAACAAAAAAAAAACAATAAGGTTTTTTACACTAATACTTTTTTTCCTTTTGACCTGATTCTTTTACAAATATTTTTTACCTCTTGCCAACCAACCTGATTCTTTTTACATGTTTTTTTGTTGTTATGCTTAATTTTTATAAGTAATAAAAACATGTTTTTCTTTATTCTTTTAATTTAGGAGATATTGGTGGACAGATAGGCTTATTTATAGGAGCAGGTGTAATGTCGTATTTTGAGTTTCTTGATTGTTTGGCTATAGTGATATACACACGGTTTTTTCAGAAGTTTACTTCCTCATGACACAAACTTCCTTATGAGTACGAATTTCCTCCTGAGTACAAACTTCCTCCTGAGTACAAACTTTCTCATGAGTACGAATTAATAAAAAACGAAATGTTAATTATATAGATAATAAGAATTTTATTTATGTAAATTTTTATGATTCTTATTTTGGTCGTTATTTATGTAAATTTTTATGATCCTTATTTTGGTCGTTATTTATGTAAATTTTTATGATTCTTTATTTTGGTCGTTATTTATGTAAATTTTTATTATCCTTATTTTGGTCGTTATTTATGTAAATTTTTATGCTCCTTTTTTTGGCCTTTATTTATGTAAATTTTAGTTGCATACATGGTACAAATAATGCCTTAATTACATACAATGCACAAACGAAATTTTTGTTTATTAAATAGTGTTTTTTTTTAGTTTAATTGTATAGTATGCCTTAGTGGCCGAAGTGGTTGGCTTGCTGTACATCTGAAGTGAAACATGGAGTTCCAATCCTTTCGCGTGCACGCATTTTTTTTTTTTTTTTAATCTTTTTTTAAACTAAATTAAAAAAAAAAAACATTTTAAAGTTCTATAGATGTTACTCGCGTAATTTATATAAAAATGTTATAACAAAACGAAATGGAAAAAGAATTTTTTAAAAAGCCTAAAAATTTTAAGTACATTTAAACAACGGGAGACATTTGTTGCGTCATTGTTGCCTTTGTTTTCTTCAAAACTAATAACCAAGTCGAGGGTCCTAGCTATGGCTGATTGAGGTTTGGCGTCATAAGGAGGAAGGAGGGTCGTGTAGGTGTAAATGAGTAGGGGGCGACAAGGATTGTGAGAGACATAATAATCCCTAGAAACATTTTTTTTCGGGAATCGCGCTTGTGATAAATGTATTTTACCAATGCTTTTATATGCCTTTTATCATAACTATTAAGTACATCTAGGACACTAAACAATTTAAAGTTTGAGTTTAATTTGGCTAACAGTTATCGTTAAAAAAAGAAACATTTAATATAATTATAAATATTTAATATATTATTGCAATGGTTTGTTTATTTAAAAAATAAAGTTACTCTATACCTAATAATGAAAATAAGAATTAAGAATAAAGATTACTTTCCTAATAGTTTTAAAAACTTTTTTCTGCAAGATTTAATTCCAGTGAGTAAAGAACGATCGTTAAGCGTCTTAAAAATATAAGACGAACTTGTGACGCATATATGACGATGTATCGACGTCTTACGGAAGACTGTGACGGCTGGGTTGATGCAAAATGATTTCTTGATAATTTAAAATCAATGCTTTCAGCAAGTTTATAACTGATTAAATATAATGTCAATCCTAAAAGACATTCTTTTGTCGTTGTTGATTACAGATAACTTTTAATCTTTAGTCTACTGAAACTTCTCTCATCATAAGGAGATGTAAAGAGTCAAGTCAATTTTCTAGAGTACAGACAAGTTAGGAAAACAAGTCTATTTCTGTATTAGAAATAGATATACGTGTTTTATTTGTAGTTTGGTCGTAATTTCTGGTGATTTTGATGCATATACATTATTGAAAGTAATGCCGGTGACGTGAAATAAAATAACTCCCCGAAAAGTTAACTCCCGGTTAAAACATTTTAACTCCCTGGTTAATCTATTCCGAAATAAATTAACCCCGGGAGTTAAATTATTTCAAAATAAGGCGAAATGGATTAACCGGAGGCCTAAATATTTCCAACCCCCATAGTAATAAATTAACCCCTTTTAACTCGCGTTTTAAATAATTTAGCTTAGAATAAGTTCTACAAAATTAAGTAAGTAGTTTATTTTAATATATTTTTCTAATATATATCTCAATTAGTCGAGTAAGCTGCTTTGAAACATTCGGTTTTTAGTCTTTTTTTAAATGTTTCTAAAGACGTTGCATCACACGTTTTTTTACTCAAATTGTTCCAAGTTCGTGGTGCAGATATGTAGAAAGATTTTGTACCATGTGATGTTCTTGCTCGATGACGTACAAGTTGGCAATATATATATATATATATATATATATATATATATATATATATATATATATATATATATATATATATATATATATATATATATATATATATATATATATATATATATATATATATATATATATACATATATATATATATATATATATATATATATATATATATATATATATAATATATATATATATATATATATATATATATATATATATATATATATGTATATATATGTATTTGTATATATAAATTAGTAAAAACACGTATCAAATTTTCCTCGACAGTCAAAATTAGATAAGTGTTTATACTAATTTACTACTGCTCTGTTCTCTAAGAACATTGAGCATTCTATTTGTACAATACACTAGGTCAATTCCACGTTTAAATGAGTTATTTCGATAAAATTATTAAATAAATTCAAACAAAAGCAAAGTAATCACTGGGTTGCCATATGTTTAAAAATTTTAAATTTTGATTAATAATGTTATTTGTGTGTTTTGTTTATGTTTTAAATTTCAAATTAAAGTCATGCTTCATACTTTCTATATAAATGGTAGCTAATCTACATATTGATAAAAGCATAGAATCGTCTCTGTAAGTAACAATAACAAAGTTGATTTAACATACATAAATAAGTAGTTATGTGATGAAATTTAACATTAACAAATATTGTTGTTATATTAATATTTCTTCTTTTGTTTTAGTTAATAAAAAGTTAAAAAGTAACAACTCAGTTATTGTCATTTATCCTTCGAATGCACAACAATTTTATTAACTTGTAATTCATTGTGTTACAAAGAACAAAAGGACAAAGCTCTACAACCAGCATGTTTTGAATCACCTCCAAACACATTTAATTTAAGTAGCCAGTTTATGTAGGTTAAATATTTGGCTTAAAATATTCAACTGAAAACAACAGGTAAAAACAATAATTTTAAATGTATTCTATAAAAAAGAGTGCTGAATGTTCTTAAAAAAACAGAGCGATAAATTAGTAGAAATTATAGATGGTAGTATTCGATAGTAGTATTCAATATATATACATATCGAATTGTAATATATCGGTAGAAATATTCAATATACATATATATCAAATTTATGAATATTTAAGGGGCGAAGGGGCGTGAGTGTCGAGAAGAGGGGGAGAATGGAGGGTTATGACCCCCTTCCCTCCCCATCAATGAATTTTTCGTTTATTTAGTCGGCAAATGTAAATCCTTTACACAAGTTAGTGGGCAAATTTAGAAAGTCAGTCGGCAAATTTTGAAAAAAGCAGCCTTTTCTTTTTTTCTTTTTTTTTTTCGGCAAGATTTTAATGGCACCCCTCCATATGACACCTATTCGCGCCATCCCTAAAGGTGATCCACAACAATTTAAAATAATATATTTTGTTTTATTGGTTAAAACTGTTAAAACCTCTGGTTGTACTAAAGCTATTATTAAAATGTTAATTAATGTATTAATAAATTGCAAATTAAAAGTCTTATATATAAAAAACTAAAATATATAAATTTTGAAATAATTTGTAACAAAAGTTTTTTTGCCTTGCTAACCCAAATCTAAAAACACTTAAAAAGAAAAACACTCAGAATGCTATATCTAGATAGGACTATTTATTTGTTCCAGAGCTTTAAAATAACATAGGTCCCATATTGGTGTAAGAGTTGCACTAGAATCATGTAGTATAGCATATATAATCATAGTAAGCATATAGTTTAGGATTAAAAGAAATTTCATCATATTGAACTAGTTGTGGGTGTCAAAAGGTCAGGCATTGTTTTATGAACTACTTTACATTAGAATCAAATTCTAAAACAACTCCTGCATATGAATATAAAAAATATATTCAGAAAATTTCATTGTCGTTGCACCTTTAGATCTTGAGATATTTTGTTCTGCGTAATCGTGTATATTGAAAAATGGGAAAAAACATGTACTTCTATTTCTATTTTGCTCAAAACTTTTAAATGCGCTTTTTATAAGTCATTTTTATACACACGCTTTAATGAGTTAAAAACATTTTCATTAGAAGAGTTTTGATTTAGTCTATTGTTAATTGAAATAGAAGTTTAAACTGTTTTTTTTTTTAATTTATTTATTTAGGTGTTGGATCCAATTTCACGGATGAGCATTTAATTGGAAGTTCACACCACTTTCCTAACCGATGTTGCAAAACTTGTAGAGAAGTGGGGGTTTGAACCACGGATCCTTTGCTTCTGAGGCATGTGCGCTACCACTGCGCCACGTCTGCTTAAACTTTATATGGTTATACTTTTCAAAGACTAAAATATTTTACTGCGAAATTAAAAATTTATCGATGAATTTAAGTCTAGTTGTAATAGTAAAAAAAATATGTTTTCAACTTGTTTCTCGCACATTTGGGTCAGGATGAGGGAAAGATAAACGAAAGTGAGACTTTTCTATATATATATATATATATATATATATATATATATATATATATATATATATATATATATATATATATATATATATATATATATATATATATATATATATATATATATATATATATATATATATATATATATATATATATATATATATATATATATATATATATATATATATATATATATATATATATATATACATATATATAGAAAAGTCTTACATACATACATATATATATATATATATATATATATATATATATATATATATATATATATATATATATATATATATATATATATATATATATATATATATATATATATATATATATATATATATATATATATATATATATATATGTATGTATGTATGTATGTGTGTGCGTGTATGTGTGTGTGTGTATGTGTGTTTTTGAACTTTATTACTTCCGTTTAAGAAATCGATCCCGTATTTAACCTTGTGAAGCGTAGTTGGCATGATGCACCAAGAATTGGTTTTCTCTATCAACTCTAAGGTTTCCAAGCAGTATGATTTAAAAGCATTTAAAAACTCAAACTGCATTTAAAATGTTTCTGAGAATTACAACAATATTCGAACAACAATTTTATTTAATGTTATTTTAGAAAAATATTTTGCTATGACTAATGCTCTTCTGGCAGTATTTCCTGTATTGGTATTACTAAATCCTTGCTAAGAAGTATCAACCACAAAGCGGAACTCCTCTGTAAACTTTTCCTAGTATTCGAGCTTTTACACAATCTATCTTCTTGAGACTGGAACTGGTATCTTTATGTATTTATTTTATATTCCGACTGTAGAATGAATTCAAAAAATTGTATCCAAAATAATCGTGTGCATAGTTCTAAAGCTAGAAATTGCTCATTGCATACCTTTGTCCTAATTATATTCCACTAGGCTTGACAAAAAAAAAAATCCCAGATTGTATTAAGTTTGTATCTGTTATAGCACTGACTGCTTTGTCGTCCAACATTGTCATCTCTTTTTATTACTATCTTTGCTTTCTGGTTAGAGAAAAAAAAAAAGACTTTTTATTTGTTAACATCTAACTCTTTAACTCTTATTGACTCCTTTGTTTCTATTTAGTATTGCAGATAAAGAGGCCTTCAATGGGGGTTTAAAAACATCAAGCTTGACCATACAATGTTGTCCCCTATTTCCAGTTTTAATGGAACAGTAACAGTTTGGATAATGGATAGTTAATTTTGAACTCTAGTTACAAGATCTGTGTCTTGAAACTTTTTTTCAAACACTTTGAGGTAATTTTCAATTCATTTCAGCTTTCAGTTAGAATTTTTCAGTGGTTTCTGATCCCTCTAAACATTATGTATTAGATATGTTCATGATTCATGATATGTTCATGATTCTTGATAAAGTGTGGTTTACCATTGACAGAACAGAACACTTGCAAATGTTTCAAAAACTTCTAAATTTTCTGATAACATTTTGATTTGGCATCAAAAATCTCTTTGGTATCAAAAATCACTTTGGTAAGTTAACTTCCGAGATGTTTCCAAATATCTCAGAAGTTAACTTTTAACCATGGCTTTTTATCTATTTTTAGAGCCGATGTTTTACTAACATAAAGAAAATAGTTTTCAAACTCAGGTTGATTAGTTTTTTGTTTTTTTTTTTGTTTTTCTAAAAGTAATATAGATTTTATTTATAAGCCAAGAAAGATATATATTCATAACATGGTTACTTTATTCCTTTTGAAAATGTTAAAAAGATCACTAATGTAAAAGTAAAAATCTGGTTTTATTGTTTTGGAAGCCCTACAATTTTTTTGCTGTATTTACTAACCAATTGCTTCTCGCAACTCATTAACGCTTGTAACGACAAGGCGCGCTTTAAAATGTTTTAAATTATTACTCCCAGGGTCACGTTGTGGGGATAGAACTCCTTACAAAGCGAAAGCTCTACCACCAAAATTAAAACAACCATAATTAAACATCTAATTAAGTTTACCTTTTGAATAAAAAATATGAAGAGTAAAACGAAAAGAGGAATGAAACAAGTTTCCAAGTGCAATATAGCGACTTATAAAGGAGCAAATTACTTTACGTAATTAATACCCCAGAAAGAAATTTTTGATTCCTTATCCTTCCTTTATGGTAAATAAAAATAAGCTATGTTTTTTATTGATATAGTCTAGAATTCAATGCGTACCTTTTTCTGATCGCAATGAGGTGGAAATCTTTGTACTTTTGAAAAACACTGACTTGACTCCATTTCAAGATTTAATACATTCATCTTCAAAATGAATAATATTTAAATATCTATTTTTTTTTTTTATTAAAATAAATATAAATAATTAAAATAACAGTGAATGCAGCTGAAAATAAAGGTTATATAGAAAGTAGTTATAAATAACTAAAAATAAAAAGAAGGAAAAAAATATACACGGTAAATAATAACATTCTAGTAATAGTAATTTTAATACGATTTTTTTACAGAAAATTTTTAATTAAGTTAAGAAAACTTCACCATCATCATCAAAATCATCATACAATTAAATATTATGCCAAGTTTACTTATAAATATTGTTAAGATTAGTTTTAATTTTTTTTAAATCACGAAAATTAAAAAAAATAGTAATTTAATCAATTACAAATTTTTTGGATAGAAAAGCAAACTTAACTTTAAATTATCTCACTTGTTTAAAAAAAAATTAAACATTTTATAAGTAAATATTATTTAAGCTTAACAATTTAAAGATGATTTTATACTTTGTACATGTTACAAAAAGATTTAAGTATCCTATACTGCTTTAAAAAAAATAAAAAAATAAAATCATGTTGCCCAAACTAAACATAATACATATGAACGTGAGTCCACTTATTTAAATAATTTTTTGGGGGGTTTTCAAAAAAATTTTCTCAATTTTATTTTATTAAAAAAATTGTTTTGTCATCCTTCCTGCAATATCATTTTTTTTTTAAAAAGAAAAAGAAAAAAAAAATCATTGAAAAATATTTCCGTGGTAAACTTATAACAGGATGAATGAATAAATTAAAATTTTTTAAAATAGAAGATAAACATATAAGCAAATGAACATTTCTAGTTATATATTTTTCAAATTAAAAAAAAAAAAAATCAAACAAAAATTAAAAGAAAGAAGATATGGGTAGATATTTTCCAAGCCAACCGACTCGTAAGTAATTATTATTATATATAATTTTTATTCAGAATGCATGTTTAAGACAACAAACAATGATAAAAATTAATAAATAAACGATTGCAACAAAAGATTGTTGAAGACTATATATATATATATATATATATATATATATATATATATATATATATATATATATATATATATATATATATATATATATATATATATATATATATATATATATATATATATATATATATATATATATATATATATATATGGGTTTATTCAAACACAATTGAAATTGAAATATAGCAAAAGTTGAAGACAAAATCAAAAGTCCACAGGAGCAAAAAAGAAGAACTATCAAACAGTATCTTGCATATGCTGGTGAAAATATTTCTATTCATGGACTTTCCCATGTCTTTGACAAACGAGAAAACTTTATTTGTCGTACCGTATGGCTTCTTATTACAATTGCAGCTTTTGGATACGCTGTACAAAAAGTATATGAAAGTACATTAAACTATTTTTCTTATCCGTTTAGTACAGCTCGAATGAAAATCCATGTTAACCAAATGGATTTTCCTGCAGTTTCATTTTGTAACCTAAATGACTTTCGTTACAGCGCAACTAAAGGAACAAAACTCGATAAAGCTATTTTATCTAATGACAAAAAAATTTCAGGAGAGGAATATTTAAACATTACTTTAAAAGCAAGACATAAAATAGAAGAAATGTTAGTTGATTGCGAGTTTGATGGTAATAAATGCTCTGTTCATAATTTTACAGAATTTAATTGGAACCAAGGTGAGCTTTGTTTTACATTCAACTCCGGAAAATTTCCTCATTCATTATTAAAAGTAAATGGTGTTGGGATGAAAAGAAGTCTGGTACTTACCATAAACGTTCAACATTATGAATACTACGGTGACGAATTAGATGCAGGTATACATTTAATACTTCACGACCAAGAAGAAACTCCAATAAAAAAGCGTGGACCCGTAATACCACCTGGATTTACAACATACATACAAGTCGAAAAAAAAACGGTAAATAAAAGATTATAATTTGTGTTTAATTGAATATAATTAGAAAACAGTTTAGCTCATGAAACATAAAAAACAATTTAAATTATTAAGCATATGTTTAAAAAAACACTTTATTCACCAACACACCAGGGATAAAAAATACTCTCACCAGCACACAAAGCAAAGATTTGCGCAAAGCATAAAGACTAAACTGTTGAATTAACTTTTATGATTGCAACGACAAACTTAATTAAATTAGGAATCTGCAAAGACATTAGGACTACTTAAAGTTTATTTTTTAATTAGAAAAATTTACACTAATAGTATAAAAAAGTTCAAACAAATAAATTTAGCTTGATTTCAACTGTTGAACAACATGACCTACTATAATTACTGTAGTTATAGTAGGCCATGGAACAACGTGATAAAATAATATTTCGATCAAAACAAATAATTTGTTAAAAAACATGTTAAATAATAAGTTTAACAATAATCTCTGAAATGATGATTTTCAGTTTAGAAACAACTCAACTTTTTTTTAATTTTTACTTTTCAAATGATGCTAAAGGTTTGTGCAACCCGGGCCGTCCCGAAGGAGGGGAGTGTCGGGGGTGTCCCTCGCCTCCCCCCCCCCCCCCCAAGCTGTCATATAAGCATTTGAGTTGGCACATTGAGCAAGTTTTAAACTATAATTGGCAAATTGCTTTTTTTTTTAAAAGCATTTGAGTTGGCACATTGAGCAAGTTTTGCTCAATTTGCCAACTGAAATGTTTTTTGAGTTGGATATTTTAATTTGCCAACTATATTTATATTAAATTTATAGTTGGTAAATTTAAATATAAATTCAGTTGGCTATAATTATAGTTTGCAAGTTGCAAGTATTGATGACATTTTTTTTTGTGTGTGTCCTAATTTGGCAAAAAGATACTTACACCCCTCTCCACCATGGAAGACCTCTTCGGGACGGCCCTGTGTACAACTGTTATAAAGTAAATATAAAAAAACATCTAAATCTTGCTTAAAGGTTCTGAAGACTTTCCTTAAGCTACTGAAGACTTTCTGAAAGGTACTAAAGACTTTATTATAGGTTTAATTATTGAAGAAGATCTTCAAGCAGAAAACTTTTTTGACTGCTATCTGTGGTACTATTTTGAAAGTTTGAGCAGTTTGGCTTTTGCTGATTCTCCAATAAAATGATGAAAAATATCCGTTCAAATAGAAAGTTCTAGAAGAGCTAAATAGCAATTCTTTTGGTAATCAGTTATTGTTTTCTGTTTAAATAACATAGCACAATGTTAAATTCTTTAATCTTGTTTTAAAAATCGACAAAAAAAAGGAACCATTTTAATAAAGAAACCATATGAGCAGACAAACAATCCGGTTTACCTTAAAATAAAATCAAGTTTGAAAAATGAAAGTCGTTAATGATTGAACCTAAATAGGCACTAGCCTTATCACAGCATAAAACTCTACTATAAATTCCAAGAACAATTTCTACTTTGGCTTTTAGGTCTGACAGAAAAAAATATATTTAAAAAAATCTGAAAAATTAAAAACTCTTCCAAACTGAAACACAAAAAAATATTTACACGCGGATTTAAATTATTTTATGGCCAATATTAGATAGTATGCACAAATATTTGACATAATATTTTTACATATGCATTTTTAATTTCTCAAATTTGCAACAAATTAGGACATAAAATCTTCAATATTATATGAGACAGAGGTTTGAAAATAACTTTTAGGCTTTACTTTAAAATTTTACATTACTCTAACGATCATCTTCTTACCTTGTTTCCAAAATATAACTTTGTTATAATCTACTTTATTCAGTTATGTACGGTTGGAGTAAGACAAATCTAATCAATCTTTATTAAATTAAACATCTTTTACTCTCTTTTGTTCTATTCTTATATCAAACACGTAATATATAGTATTAAAAAGAATAAAATTTATTTATTATAAATTTGTTCAAAATAAAATTATTTATTAAACAAATATTAAAACTTTTATATTAAATTTTTGTTTTTCACGATTCACATAGTGGTGCATACGATGCTCCGGAATAACGTTACAATGGTACATAATGATCTTAAAGGCAATTAATTGCTCTTACTGCTGTCTGGTTTGTCCTAGTTATTTTTAATTGTTTTAAATTTTAAAACCTTTTGACACATTTAATACTTATGTGTAATCCTGAACAAGAATTTTCATAAGGCTCTGGTAATCATTAACGCCATACTTTTGGGAAGTAAAACAATAATCCACCTTTTTCAAGACAGAAGCCTTCAAATTTGTTGTAGTAAGTTTCTTGTATGTGGTAGACAATTACATATAAAATAACAAAAGTTTGGTCAGGAGTTCCATTTTGCATTACTTAATCTAGGCATCTGCTGAATTATCACTAAAGTTTTAATTTTATTTAAATAAACAAAAAATTCAAGTTGAACAAAATAAAATTTTTATATCATCAAGTCATGCTATTTTATTTATGGTTTTTTTCATTTTTTATTTGCGTTGTTTGGTAGGAGTTAAACAAAACCAGTAAAAAAAATAAGTTTTAATGCTGAAAAAAAGCATCAAATCTTCAAGAAGCAAATGATTTTCGTAACAAAACAAAATCAATTTACTCTTTTCACTATGTTAAGTATTCAAAATCAGTTTACTCTTTTCACTATGTTAAGTTTTTAGCACTATGTTTTTCCATAAGCTATATTGTAAAATAATCTTAGTTTTATGTTCAAAAATTCAAAGGTTTGTTAAAGGTGTAATTTCCAAAAGATTTTTAACGTTTTAAAAAATTTTATGGTCCATTCTTAGAAACTTCTGAAAAAGAATCACAAAAAGATGAACAAAAGTAAAAAAACTAAAAAGAAAAATTTTCTTCCTTTTATTTTATTGTATTTATGTTATAATATTTTTCTGTTTAGATTTTAAACTTAGAATCACCATACAAAACAAAATGTGGCTCCATAAAGTTAAAGTATTTTGATAGTTACTCAATGCACACCTGCTGGCTTGAACAACTTACTGATCATGTTTACAAAATTTGTAAATGTAAAGACTTTTTTATGCCAGGTTGGACTTTTTTTACTTGATATCCTAATTTTGCTGTATACATATATATAAATATATATATAATATATAGGCTCATATGTATGACAGTGGCGTAGGAAAGTTCTTAAATGTATGAAATAACCAACTTTTAAACAAATACAACGATCCAAATTTTTTTACGTTCATATGTATGACAAAAAGATTCGTCAAAAATAGAAGATACTGTGATAAGAGAATGGGAACAAGTTACCATAAAATCTTAGCCTCCTTTTTCCCAAAACGTGAGAGCAACAAGTTGACAAATAATCGATAAATTTTAAATTTCCTAGTAAAATATTTTAGTGTTCAAAAATTATGACCATATAAAGGGAGGTGATTTAACTAATGTTAGCAACTATCGTCCCATTTTTATTCTAGCTGCATTTTAAAAAGTCTTGGAGAGAATTTTATACAACAGTATTTATAATCATTTATCTGTAAACAATTTAATATATAGCAATCAAAGTGGATTCAAAAAAAAATAACTTGACAGAACACGCAGTTCTCCAGTTTACGAGAAGTATAACTAACTCTTTTGAAAACTCCCAATATACAGTTGGGGTTTTTATTGACTTAGCTAAAGCTTTCGATACAATAGACCACAATATTCTTTTAAATAAACTAAAGATTTACGGTATAAACGGAAGTGTTTTAAATTGGTTAAAAAGCTATTTAAATAATCGAAAGCAAATTGTATACTTTGATGTAGTTTCACCAGTAAACTTGCTTGATATAACCTGTGGAGTTCCTCAGGGATAAATATTAGAGCCTCTTCTTTTTCTTATTTACATCAAGGATCTCCATAAAGCCTCAAATCTAATGACGATTATGTTTCCTGATGACAAGAACTTATTTTTACCTTATAAGGATATTACATTGTTATTTCAAAATATCAATAATGAACTAGTAAGAGTTTCTGATAGGTTTAAGACAAATAAACTGTCTCTTAATATTGATAAAACGAAACGAATTTTTTTCTATCCAAATCACAAAAAAAATCTTATACCAAATGAGATGCCACTGCTTTTTATTGATAATATACTTCTAAAAAAAGTAACAGTTACAAATCTTCTTGGTATTTATATTGATGAAAATTTGTCATCGAAAATTCACATAAAAAATTTGAGTAGTAAAATATCAAAAAGCATAAGAATTTTGTACAAAGCAAGGAGTTTTTTAAATAAACATAAATTACTTAAACTATATTATTCGCTCATTCAATTTCACATAAACTATGCGAACATTGCGTAGGGTAGTACTAATAAAAGTAAACTGGAACCTCTTTATCGTCAACAGAGACATGTTACACGCCTTATTAACTTTAAGGATCGATTTACTCATGCCAAGCCTCTATTAATTGAAATGAAAGTTTTAAATATATATGAGCTTAATATTTTTAACGTTATATGCTTTATGTTTAAATGTAAAAACAATATTTCTCCTGTACCTTTTCATGATTTGTATAACAAAAAAGAAAAAACTAAGTACATTTTACGAAATGATAACGACATTCGTCAATCAGCTTATCAAACTAATTCTGGAAAATACTGTATTTCATTTCGAGAAGCATCATTTTGGAATAAAATAGTTTTAAAGAATTTTATCAAGAAGTTAGCTATCACTATTTCAAACAAAAACTTAAAAAAGTCATTTTTTTATTAGATGATATATCTATATTCTTTTAATTTTTTGTTTCTTTTTTAACTTTATATTTAACACTGCGTTAATAAAATTTATATTTTAACAATTTGTAAATTGTTGTTTAACACTTTTGTTAAAGGTACCTTAAAACTGTATAACAAAACCTTTAACAAAAAGTTTAACAATTTTGTTAAAGGTATCTTAAAACTGTATAACGCATCTATGTATTTATTACGGAACCCTTTTTCTTTTTCTTTTTTTCTTTAAATTTGTTAATGTTTTCAATTCTTAATTCTTAATTATTTGTTATCTTCAAGTATGTTAAGTATATATTCCTATTGGAAGTTTATTTATTTTGAGAATATTTTATTAATACGAAATATTAACACGTATTTTTTTTAGCGGTTCTCGACGACAAGACCTCACGGTCTTCAACGAGTTCCCGCGTTCTTTTATTTCTTAATAACGATCATGTATATATATATATATATATATATATATATATATATATATATATATATATATATATATATATATATATATATATATATATATATATATACATTGTTAACGAATATTTATTAAATGACAAAGTTGTAAAAAAAAAAAGGGGTTGGGGGTTTAAACTTTATATGGTCGTATTTTTTGAACGCTTAAATGTTTTACCATCGAATTTAAAATTTCTCAATGAATATAAGTCTAATTGAAAATAGAACAAAAAATATTTAATCAACTTGTTGCTCTCACGTTTGGGGCAGGGAGGGGGATAAGATTTTAGGGTTTGTTGTTCCCATTCTCTTTTCACGGTAATTTTTTTTGGCGAAGAATCCTTTCGTCTTACATATGAACGTAAAAAAAATTTGGAATGTTTTTTTTGTTCAAAAGTTTGTTATTTCAAACTTTTAAAAAGCTTCCTACGCCACTGTATATATATGTATATATATATATATATATATATATATATATATATATATATATTATATATATATATATATATATATATATATATATATATATATATATATATATACATATACGTATATATATATATATAAATATATATATATATATATACATATATATATATATATATATATATATACATATACATATATATATATATATATATATATATATATATATATATATATATATATATATATATATATATACATTCCATATTTTTTTTACGTTATATATATATATATATATATATATATATATATATATATATATATATATATATATATATATATATATATTATATATATATATATATATATATATATACAATATATATATATACAATATATATATATATATATATACAATATATATAATACATATATAAATATATATAATTTATATATATATATATGTATATATATATATACATATATATATATATATATATATATTATATATATATATATATATATATATATATATATATATATATATATATATATATATATATATATATATATATGTATATGTATATACATATATATATATATATATATATATTTTGTAGTTATATATATATATATATATATATATATATATATATATATATATATATTTCCTCAATAAGCAATCACTTTACAATATTTTTTGTAAAAGTTAAAATTTAAATCTTTATATTCTGACAGGAGCAAGTAGAAGACAATGCGTCTTATCACCCTGCTCCTAAGTTTGTGAAAATATCAAATAAGAAATACGTATCAAGTTCCTAAAATATACATTGTATAAGTTTTATACATATTACAAGCTTTGTACATACTATAGCATATTACAGCTTATAAAATATATAAGTTATAAGATACATATATACGTGTTAACAAATCGATATATAAATATTTTTAAAAATACAAAAGAATGTTTTTATTATTTAAATCTAATAAGTATCGTTTAACTGGTCCTTTAAATAGTTCAATTGAAGTCATGTTTTTCATGTCTCTATTAAAGATATAGTTCCACAAACGTGGTCCTCGACATGTAATTGAGAAGTCTGTTTTTCTAAGGGTTTTTATAGGGATGAGAAAGTTGCCAATGGAATGTCTTGTAGAGTATTTTTGATTAATTAAGGTAAAATGAGGTTGAAAATATGTTGGAAGCATGTTGTTATGAATTTTAAACATAAAAAACAGATTTTGATAGATGTTTAGTTTATAAATATTTAAAACATTAATTTTTTTAAGTAAAGGCTCGGCGTATGCATATCTACCTGCATTCAAAATTAACCGGCTCGCTTGCTTTTGTTTGCTATTAATTTTTTTCTTAAAGAAGATGAATAATTACTTGCCCACACTATATTGCAATAACTAATGTGATTATGAATAAATGAAAAATACAATAGTTATTTTAGGTGCTCCCAGAAGTCCTTACGGTCTTATCATAGAGCACTGCGGGAGAGCATTTAACAAGAAGTTCATGCCTCCTTCCGTACCAATGTTGTTTGTTGGGCTAAAGTTGGCGTCGAACCTGGAACCTCTTGGTTCTAACCACTGCGCCACGGCTGCTCATATATATATAAATATATATATATATATATATATATATATATATATTATATATATATATATATATATATATATATATATATATATATATATATATATATACATATATACATATATATATATATATATATATATATATATATATATATATATATATATATATATATATATTATATATATATACATATATATATATATATATATATATATATATATATATATATATATATATATATATATATATATATATATATATATATATATATATATATATATATATAGATATATATATATATATAGATATATATATATATATATATATATATATATATATATATATATATATATATATATATATATATATATATATATATATATATATATATATATATATATATATATATATATATATATAACAGCGTGTTATTTTGCGTGAGGTTCGTTCAGATTGGATTGAAGTGTTGAGTGGTGTTAATAATAGTGATCCAATAACAGAGCCCAAGGCTCTGTTATTGGATCACTATTATTTATTATTTTTATCAATGATATGCCAGAACTTGTCAGAAATTATTGTAAATTGTTTGCTGATGATATTCAACTAGTTGTCAAATTAAAAAATGTTCTTGATTTTGTTCATGTTCAGGCTGACATAGATTTTTCTAATCTAAATTGTGGTGCATGGATTTTAGCATCAGCAAATGAAAAGTAAAAATCTTTAAATAATTGTTTTTAGCAACCATTGTTGCTAAAAACAATTGTTGTTAACAATTGTTTTTAACAAGAACCTGAAAGAAAAAAGTACAAACATAATATCAGAAACTTTTAAATAAGGTTTAGTAAGTTAAAAAAGCGATTTTATAAACAAAAATTATATTTCGAAAATATGAAATAGATGGCGAAAGTTAGTTAAGACGTTATTGGTTGAGCAAATAGCTGAATAGTTTAAATAAGTGTAAAAAAGAAGTTTATAAACATTTATAAAAACTTTACAAACCTCTATTTAAATTTTTTTTTTTGAAATTTCAACAAATTTCTTTTATCCGATTGCTTAACCTATTGGAATATTTGTAGAACATATTTCTCCCTGATTAAATTCGAAAAAGACGCATCAAATTTAATTTTAAGTGCAAGTATGTCGTGTGGGGTCCCTGCAACAAAATGCGTCACGCTACACCTGGTTTATAAGATTTCTTGTATACAATGACGTCATAAATAAAATTGTCTTCAAAAAAGTTTTTTTAGTTTTTTTTACAAAACTTTGCAAGAATCTGCTTAAAAAATCCTGCTTTCAAATTTACACAACATTTATTAACAGTGTTTACATTGGCCGAATGGTACCTTCAAGTGGCAAGAATAATTTGCCCATTTCCCTGGACCCCTTTTTGACAATTTTTACCTGATGGCAAGCTGCCCCGTGTTTCCCAGTATATTTATTATGTTAATATTCATGTTTCCCAGTATATATATTATGTTAATTTCATGTCAATAGATCAAACATTCTAATTTAAAATAGACTCAAGTTTTTAGTTAATTTGCCAAGCTGATAGTCTCACTCGCGTATCTAATAATCTCACTTTGTTGTAAATAAGGGCAACCGTTAGCAGTAATTAAACTCTAAATTATACTTTCTGGACATTTCTTAACAGAAGATACAACGGGGATTGAAGCCTGGCTTTGCAAAGATAACATTTTGTATATTTTAACATTTGAATTTCTGTGCTGCTAGCAAATTTTAAGGCTAGAAGGAAATTGAGGAAAAATATGTGAGATTGCAACTTTTTTTTCATAATCAAGCAACATACTATGCTCTTAAATATTGGAATGGTAATTCTGTGTCTTTACTACAATTATCCTGGATTAATGCCATGTTTCGACTTGATACGCTCAATGATAAACAGTTGTCTTAAACGTTCAGAAATCATACGCTTATACTGGCAAACTTCCATTAAAAATACATTCGTGCACATTTAGCAAGTGACATAGCAAGTGACGTTGCTATATTCTAAGATAATAATGATTGAATTTTATTTTATTTTTATGTATGTACTTTAGGGTAAGTCAATTTTTTATGTATGTATTGGGTATGTCAATTTTGGATTTTATTTAAGAAAAAATTTGCGGAGTTACTAAAATTTGCAGAATTTTATGGGGAATTCAAATAAGGCTTTAAAATTTGAGTTAAAAAACATTTTGCTTAGGTGATTCGACTTTTTATATTTCTATAAAATTTTGTTTTATAGAAATATAAAAATTAAAAGCATTACTTTAAATTATTGCTTTTAATTTTTTTCAGTTTTCATTTTTTTCTTTATGTTATGCAACATTAATCAATAAAAGAAGGTTGTTAAACAAAGTATGGTTGTTAAGAATAGGGTTGTAAAGAAAGATTTGTTTAAGAAAAAAAAATTTTTTAGGTATTTTAATGCTCTTTAAAAAGAGCATTAAAATACCTAAAAAAAATTGTGTTTGAAATAAAATGAAAATATTCTATTTTAGGTGAAATAAAAGTTTGCAGTTTTGAAGTATTAGAAAACTGTACATGGAAAGAATGGGGTAAACTAAATTTAAAAATAATTTTTTTCCTTTTTATAACTTATAATATATAATTCAATTATTTAATTTGTAGCTAAATTTGACAATTATAAATTGCATACGTGCCCATTACCATGCAAAATCGATTCTTACGAAATGAGTTTATCGCGAGCATTATTTCCTACAGCTCGATATGCTAGCTCACTTGCCAATCGTTTTCGCAAACTTCCACATGTTTTGAACACAGTAAAAAGTATATCAAACGACCTTCTTTTCATGAGGTAGCAATTTTTTATTTTTAAAAATGTTTTAAACAAATTTTTTCAAATTTTTTATTATAAAATGCTTTTGATACACGTTTTTCATAAACAAAATCTTTTTTAAATAAGACTCTGTTATATTTAATTATTTCTTATATCAAATATTTTTAAAATTAATTCAAATCATAATTAAGATTACCAATATAATGATTGTAATGTGTGCACAGGACTCAGAGCTCACAGTTATTTTATACTATGACATTTTACACAGCCTAATGGGCACCGGACATAAAAAAGACGTTTTTTTGAACGTTCAAAAAACGTCCAAAACGTGTGTAAGACGTTTAAAAGAAGTCTTTTTTTCGTCTATGCCTATTGGTAGGGGTGGCGCAGCATTTTTTGGTCTTCAAGATATCTATTTTCCGAACATGGAGCAAACTCAAAACATTTATATGTTTATACATATGTCAAATAAGGATGCTTTGCAAAAAATTACGATGATTGGAGCCTGGGGAAAAAAAAGCTTTAAAATATTAGCCTCCCACCCTAAACGTGAGAGCAACAAGTTGATAAAATATTTTTTGAACTATTTTTAACTAGACTTATATTGATCGATAAATTTTAAATTTCATAGTAAAATATTTTAGCCTTCAAAAAATATGGTTTTTGAACGCTGAGAAATTATACTATGAAACTTAAAATTTCTTGATGAATATAAGTAAATGCTGGCACATAAATTGACCAAAAAATCTCCACCCGTGCTTATACCAAAAGTATTTTAGTATCAAAGTTAAGACTAATTAATTAGATGACGTTAAAATAAAGTATAATAAATAAAAAGTTAGCAATAATAATATATAAAAAAAAAATACAGTTTGAAGAACTATGGTTGGTGATATCTGCTAACCAAATGTTTGGCAATTTTTAATTCGGCTGCCAATATATTAAACTCTTCCACCTAATTTTTATCATTAATTTAATTTTTCCTTTTTTATTTCAGTTTTTAGTTGTTGTTGTTTTTTCTGCCATGAGTAATTAACCTTTTTATTTTTTAGGGAAAATTTACTTCGTGTTGTTATTTATTACAATGATTTATCATATGAGTTGCTTGAACAGAAACCAAACTATGATACATTAGTGTGGCTTGGTTAAGTATTTACCATACCATTTTTTTCATTAAAATAAAATTGTATAAACCTCAATTGTATAAACCTCAATTGTATAAACCTCAATTGTATAAACCTCAAATCTCAAAGTAGTTGTTTTGACCATAACTTTTTTTTTCCGAATTTAGAAATAAAATTAAATTCATTAAATCTTATGATTTTTAAATTAATTTTAAAAATTTTGAGCTAAAAAAATACAATACAAGCCACGTTATATCATGCGATTTTTTGGGGGCAAAAAAGGTGAGAGTTTTAATATAGAAAAAAACTTTGAACATAGATTAACGGTAGACTTCCTTGGTAACTCCTATTTCAACAATGCGTACGATAACTCAAATTTAAAGGCGATCGGCAATTGGATGTTTTGGGATAAGTGCATAAAGTCTACATTAATCAAATTACTAAATTAGGCAAAGGAGTTCACATACACTGACTCATAAATTATGGTTAGAATAATTTATGAGTCAGATAATTTTTTTTATGTTTGCCTCTGTGAAGAACACCGTTAAAATAAGAGTTAGTCAAGAGAGCGGACTCTTTAATTGTAATAATTAATTTCAATCATAAATTGTTGCATAACTTATTTTCAGACGTTCATCAGTACTTTTTAATCATTTCTAAATAATTTGGAGAAAGAAACTTTTGAACCGAATGTTTAAAAAATAAAGATTTAATTTATTTAAACATTTTCTTTATGTTGTATAACTCAAAGATTTCTTTCAATAATATATTTGTTAGTGTCATTTTTAATTTAACTAATTTTTTTATTTATTTAGGAGATGTTGGTGGTCAAATAGGATTATTTGTTGGTGCCGGAGTAATGTCATATTTTGAAATAATAGACTGTTTGGTTCTGATCATTTACACTCGATTTTTTCAAAAGTTTAAAACGATAAATTCTATAAGAAATCACTCTTTATAATTTTTGGGTAACTTTGACTGTATTATTATTGTTTTAACACTACATACACAACCACTCGTGTGTATATCGTCAATGTATTTGGATTATGATTTGCATAGAGCTCAAACTTAAGATTTTTACCGTAGTTTTACCGTACCGTATTGAATGTAACTAAAACTGTTTATTAAAAGAGCTTTGATGTTTTTACATTAGTAGCAGTAAGGACCAGAGTTGATAATGCCGCCCGGCAGCAAAGTAACTTTTTGCCGAAAGACTTTTTAGGGAGGCGGAAGCCATTGGTGGCGACAGCCCAAAATAATTTTTGGATGCAAAATGTTCTGACTTCCGTCTCTTAATTGGTGTCCGCGGCAAGAGCATTTATTTTCAGACAAAATATTTATGTTATAGTGGATATAATAAAAAACATTTTCATGTTTGCTTTTAAGTGAACGAGGATTTTAAAAGTTAATTAGGAACAAAATTTCTTTTTTTATTTTTGTATTTAATAAGATGCTTCCACATGTCTTTACGATGTTATCATTTGACATCAAAGTTGCGTTTATTTGTATATTTATAATTTACATGTGATTAATTTATTTTAATTATAGAGCACATTTTTAAAACTCTTGAAGTATGCAAATTTTACTGCGCTTGCGTATTATAACTTTCCATGTATTTAGTAAGTCTGACCATTATTTAGTAAGACGACGACGCCCCTGATTTTTATATATATATATATATATATATATATATATATATATATATATATATATATATATATATATATATATATATATATATATATATATATATACATATATATATATATATATATATATATATATATATATATATATATATATATGTGTGTGTGTGTATAAAACTAGATATGTCTTGAACAAAAACTGTTTAAAATCTATTTATTATATATATTTTTCAATTTTTCATAGCTATATTAGTTATGGTAACATTGCTTGGGCAAGCACTCAACCGTCGAGACTAACGTGTATCTTGAAAAAATAAAAATAAGAAAGCTGCCTTATGAAATGTTAATAAATACACCAGTACAAATCAATTGCTTAGAAAGCTTGGTGCGCTGAATGTTTATCAATTATATATTTATAATATTCTTTTGTACATGTTTAGATTAAGATGCTGCCTAATATTTTTGAAGATCTTTTTTTTATTATAGATCATGAATATCAAACAAAGCAATTGTTGCTTAATTATCAGATACCTTTTATCAGATAAATTTTCATTCAGGGCTTTTTTCATTTATAAACATTCGTTCATATTTCACTTTGTTCATCACGGGGCTAGATGTTTTGCCTGCTTCCATTACATCTTAACTTAAAAAAAAAAGATTAATTATTTTATTATGACGATGACGAAATATATAAATTTGTATATATACAGTATTGGACAAAACATTTGCAACCAACATCGAACAATGCTAAAAAGTGTTCCTAATTTTACATGTCTTAAAGATGAAACGAGCTATACTACTTAAAAATGAAACGAGCTATACTAGCAAACAGTTCAGGAGTCTGGAGTCATAGCATGCCATGACATGAGCAATCAGCTGACAGGTGACAGCACACAGGCAGAATTTCATTGACAAGTGCCATTTTGCAGCGAACAAAACAAGTGCAACTTTTTTGGTTTGTTTCTTTTTCTTAAGTCTGGTCCGTGTCAACGTCACGGAAATTTTTTAGTAGTTAAAGAAAGTACCCAGAAGTTTCCAGAAGTTTCCAGAAGTTTCCAGAAGCTTCCAAATGTTTTCAGAAGAAGCATCTGAAAGCATCCAGAAGCATCCAGAAGTATCCAGACACATTCAGAAGCATCCAGACGCACCCAAAAGCTTCCAGAAGCATCTAGAATCTTCCAGAACAGGTTCACACAGGTTCATTTTACTATATAAGAGACATGTAAACCGGCATGTAATTCCGTCAGTATATGGAAGTCAATCAGTCAGTGTTATTGAGACAGTTTATCGAAGTGAGTGTTTTATCGAAGAACATCAATACAAGAAGTGAAATACAACAAGTATTTTATTACATCATTACAGTCCGCATCCAACCAAGACGTTGTGTTCCACAGAACATTATTGTATCATCACAAGGTAAATGTAACACGGTAAGCCTTGAGAAGCGTGATTATTTATTTTTATTATTTTTATGACTTCAAGTGCAAAAATGGCTCCCGACAGTCTTGGATTCGAACTAAGAAAGAAAATTATTGGCGATTACGTAAGTGGAATGTTACAAAAAAGTATTTGTGATAAATATTGCGTGAAAAAATGGACCGTATCAAGATTATGTTCCAAATATCGTTTTACGGGGAAGTTAGCAGCAGATAACAAAGGTGGAAGACCGCATTCCACTACTTCTAGAGAGGGTTCTATAATCGTCAGATCCGTCAAGAAGGATCCCTGGATATCATCAATCGAGATACAAAAGCAATTAGAGCTGCCTGTATCGGACCGAACAATCCGACAACGTGCTGTTGAAGCCGGATTGTTTTCTCGACGCCCTTCAAAAAACTGCTGATTTCATTAAAGAACCAGAGAAAAAAACTCCTGTTTGCTACATCTCATATTGACTGGAATGTCCAGAAATGGCGAACTGCTATAAGACTGTGAAGCATGGTGGAGGCAATGTAATAGTCTACATCGAAACAATGGAATAATGGACAGTTTCATGTATAAGAATATCCTGAAAGATGTTATGTTACCTCATGCTAAATGCAATATGCCAATAAAATGGGTTTTTTAGCAAGACAACGATCCGAAACACACTGCAAAAGTAGTCAAGCAGTGGTTTCAAGACAACCACCTATCGGTGATGGGTTGGCTGCCTCAATCTCCGGATCTCAACTCTATCGAAAACCTGTGGGAGATTGTCAACCGCTGAATTAATCGTGAAGGTGTTCGTAATAAGGATCAACGGTTTGAACCAATCCAAAAGGCCTGGGCAGCAATTTCGCAAAGTTTCATTAATCACCTGATCGAACCTATGCCTCGAAGATGCAAGGCTGTGAGCGACAATAAAGGATTCGCCACAAAATATTGATAGCGAAATACAGCTTGGTCAATATTTTATGGAGTTGCGCATGTTTTGTCCAGAAGGAAGTCAACTTTTTTTTAATACTTTTGATTGATTTATTAGTTTTTGTGTACAAATAATGAACTTTGTGATGAATAAAACTTGAAGATTGTTGTCTCTAAGCAGTTGCATAGTTATTTCTAGAAATTGAAAAAATGCAGCACTTTTATAAAAACTAAATTAGCATTATTTGGTTGCACTTGTTTAGTCCGATACTTTACATACATGCGCATGTACACATATACATACACGTGTACATAAATGCTGTAAATCTATATATTTACTTTTTCAAAAATTAATTTATTATAATGTATATAATTAAAGACTTTAGACTTCTCCAGACAAACAAAGCACTAATAGATAACTTTCAAATATAATATTTTTATAGATAGATTTAAAAATAATTCTCTGTTTGTTCATTATTTAAAAGTAATAGTTTTAGCGTTTGTTTAAACTGTTCAAGATTTGTAAGTGTTTTAATATCATTACTAATTATCTTATTCCATAACATTAGGTCCTCTAATAGTTATTGATATAATATATGTATTTCAAACATGATTGATCTAAGTATGGTTTTGCTTTATAAAGTAATCTGATATTTCTATAAATTTTATTTTCAATCATGTTTATGTGGTCTTTCCAATTTATGTTTTCATCTAGAATTACACCTAGAAATTTCATTGAACATTCTCTTTTTACGATTTATTTTTCAATAATAAGTTTCGGAAGTGCAAGAGGGATTATTTTTTTTTTATGGGGGCGATGAAAAATAGTATACTTAGTTTTAGTTAAATTAATTGAAAGTTAATTCATGTTCAACCATTCGGTTAGTTTTAGAAGTTCAATGTTGACTCTTATTAAATAATGTTGTTATATCACCGTGAGAATAAAACAAATTTGTGTCATCAGCAAATAAGATTTGCTTAGATAATTAATACAGATTAAAAATAAAAGTTACCCCAATATAGATTTTTGAGGAACGCCGCAAGTAATTGTCATATTGTTAGTGTTTTCATTGCCGAATGAAATAAATTGTTTTCTGTTAGATAAGTAGCTTTTGAACCAAGTTTTGTTTATATTTTTGATTCGGGAGTTTTTTTAATTTTTGAATTAAAATACTATGATTAACAGTGTTGAACGCCTTACTAAGATCTAAGAAAACACCAAAATTTAACTTGTTTTTGTCAAAAATAATTTGAATGAGATGAAGAAAGGCATGAACGGTAGAGTGCTCTGTTGAATGATCGGTAGAGTGCTCTGTTTTGAAGCCAAATTGTTGTAAAGAATATTATTTTTTTCTAAAAATGAGTATAATTTGTTATACCTAATGCGTTTTTGTATATTCGAGAAGGAAGAAGGAATGGAAATATGTCTATAGTTAGAAATATTAGTTTCATCTCCAGATTTAAAAACTGTTATTATCCTTGCAATATTAAGTTTTTTTGGAAAGATCCCTTGTTTAAACGAAAGATTAAATATTTGCAAAAGAAACTTTTTAATATAGAAAATACATTTAAACACAACATTACTACTAACATTATAAAGTCCTTGTGCTTTGTTTAATTTTAATGAATGCACAGCATCTAATAACTCTTTTCACTTTACTCAGCATTTTCCATTATTGATTTGCCAGGAGTTTTTTTTTTTGTTAAACTCACTTTGTTTTAATTTTGATGCTAAATTTAAACCTGTATTGACAAACACCTCATTAAATGTTTTGCCAATTATAGATTCATTTGTAATATCTTGATGATGATAATTTAGTTTTTTTGGAAGACGATTTAGTTTAAGTGTTTTTTTCCAATTACTTCTTTAATGACTTGCCACGTTTTTTGAGTATCGCTTTTAAATTTTATTATTTTATTTGAATAGTGTAACTTCTTTGAAAGTTTTATAATTGATTCAAAGTGATCTTTATATTTTTTATACGTTTATACATTTTCATTAGTTCGTTTTTTTAGAAACGCTTCTTACAATTGTTTTTTTTTTGATGATTTTATTATTCCTGATGTAATCCAAGGGTTTGTAAATGTTTTAGTTTTAATAATTTTTGTTACCACCAGGAAAGCTTTATTATAGTAGTTTTTAAATATCCAAAAAAAAACTGTTATAAGCAGTATCTGTGGTTTGAATTTGTATAATTTCGTCCCAGTTTTCAGAAAATAAAGAATTTTTAAAAAGTTCCATAGAAATGTCATTATATATTATATTTGTAATTTTTTTTACATTGTAAATTTATATTTTATATCGTAATTTTTTTTTTGAGGGGTGTGTTTGACAACTTTATGTACGATAATAAATTTTGGAATATGATCCGATATATCAGATAATATTCATCCAGTTTTTTTTTTTTTTTTTTGTATGTTCATTAATTATTATTTGATCAATTGAAGTTGCGATATTCCTAGTAATTCGTGTTGGTTTATTTATTGTTGAAATGAACCCATTTTGAAATATGATGTTCATAAAACTTTTTACATTTTTATTTGTGCCGTAATCAAGCACATTATAATTAAAATCCCCCACAAAAAAGACACGTTTGCCACATAATCATTATTATTTTTTTAATTAAATTTTTTAATGTTTTTCAAAAAATTTGTTATTGCCAGATGGTGGTCTGTACACAACACGTACAATGATATATTTAGTGATTTTATTTATAACTTCGATCGATAATGATTCCCAATCATTACTAATTTCACTAAACTCGGTTAGTGGTTTAAAATTTAAAGAGTTGTGGATAAACATACACACTCCTCCACCTATTGTCTCAGAATTTCGGATTGATAAATACCTTTATAGTTTTGTAATTTAAAATTTGAATCTTTTTTAATTTGTTTATCTCGATACCAGGTCTCTGTGAGACAAATAATTTTAAAATTAATTTCAACACCGTATAAGATTTTTTTTTTGAAAACTAATAATGTTTAGGTGTAAAATAGAGAACTCATTAATATCTATATCAGCAGAAAGATTAGAAAAATCGGAATTATAATAAGTAGGGCATATTTTGCTAGTTATTTCATCAGTGTTAAAAAAATTAACATCTTGATCTGAATGATTCTCTAAAAGTATATTACACGCCCGGTATTACACGTGCTTGTACAAAACATTCAATTAACCCAATGTTAATACTAAACTTTAAAGAACGTTTCTTAAATTTGTCAAAAAAGAAATTTTTAACTTATCGCGTAATATTTTTTTAAGAATTCAAAGAATTTTTCAAAAATTTTGCTTTGGAGTTGGAGCCGGAGTCGGAGTTGGAGTCGGAGTCGGAGTTGTACTCAAAAAATTTCAATAACTGGAGTCGGAGTCGTTACTTTTTTTTTACGACTCCACACCCCTGATTCTTTTACTACCAATTGCAACCAAAAACATGTCGAGTCAAATCTTCAAGATTAATATTTTAAAAATCTTAATAATAGAAGTAGAAGGTCAGCCACAAAAAAAAAAAAAAAAAGCAAAAAATGAATGGTTTTTTAAACTTTTCTCAAAAAGTTACTGGTTAAACAAAAATTCTTCTCTATTTGTAAACACGCATGCGTTTATTATAAAAAAACTAAAACAAAATACGGCACCGGAATATAAAATATGTGAGTTTATTATGTAATTTATTAAATATTGTTTTTTATAAACATTATAAAAGTAAAGTTAAATTGTATAATAGTTCATATTGCTAAAAAGTGTTTTTTTTTTTAATAGTTTAACAAAAATAATTTTTTGTTCCTATTTTTTTGTAATAAGGCAAAATGTAGAAAATTGTAAATAATAATGTCATGCATACATCTTTAATTGGCTAATAAAGAATAACTAAATGTCAAAAAAAAAAGAAAAATATTTAAATATTTCATTAAATTTAAATAACATAAGTATTCTTACTAGAAATAACATAGTATTGATAATTTTCAAAGTTGTTGAAGTTAGGCATTTTGTTAGTTTTATTGATTATTAATATAATAAGCTATAATAAATATAAGCAGCATACTAAGTTTAAAATAAAACTCACAGATAATTCTTATTGTCCTTTCAGTCAAATTTTATATTATGAAGCTTTATTTTTAGTTGCAACTGTATTTAGAATAGTTAAATATATGTATATATATATATATATATATATATATATATATATATATATATATATATATATATATATATATATATATATATATATATATATATATATATATATGTGTGTATATATATATATATATATATATATATATATATATATTTTTTATTTATTTACAAAATTAAATAAATTTAAAGTGGTTAAAATTAATGATATTTGAGTTGCAGACTAAGAATATTGGCAAGTTATGAGTTGATAATTGTTAACTAAGTGCTTGTATTGTATTAAACACCTGAGAGTATAGTATTTGCTCGATATAATTTTCAACTAATATGTTTATAAGATTGGCAAGTGAATGATACTATCAGGGGTTTGATATTTAAGTTATCTCTTTAAAATATAGTAATACTCCATTTGCAATGGTCTAATTGACAGTATTGAGTTGTTTTGAATCCTAGTGTGGTCATTTTTTTTGGTTTTCAGGAGTATCATCTGATCAATTGTTAGTTCTAATTATATTAATTATTTATATATTAGTTTTATAGTTTTTTTTTCTAATGGGTTGCATAAATTTAATTATTTAATTAAATTTCAACTTTAAAAAAAAGTTTTAAAAAAAGAATATAGGAATTGCAACAAATAATAGGTGGAATAAAAAGTACAATTGGAAATTAATACAAATAATAATAACAAAGAATAACAGTAGCCATAAACAATAACAAAAAAAAAGCAGAAAAGAGATTTTGGAAAAAAAAAGAGGGATTTTTTTAAAACTTATTAAGATATATATATATATATATATATATATATATATATATATATATATATATATATATATATATATATATATATATATATATATATATATATATAATATTACTAGAAATTTTATTTATTATTTTTTATTTCAGAATTCATTTGCAACTATTTTTTTCTGATTTATTTACAAATCAAAGACAGCATTCTAATACCTCAAATCATGAGGTATTATAATAATCGATATAATAAGTTAGAAAACATCTTAAGTGTTTAAATTCAGAAATGTCGACAAGTGTTGAGCTTTATCCAACGCAACAAATGATTGCATCATCTGCTGGAGCATTACTTGTGGCTTTAATTAGTAAGTATTCTGCTTCATTGTATCTTCATTTTTTGCTTTTTTTTTTTTTTAATCTGTTTCCTTTTCTCTTTTTTTTGTGTATTATTATTTTTTATTTGTATTATTAATTCTAAATGATTATTTTGTATTTTATTGTCTTCAAATCTTAAAATATAAAATTGTAATATGTAATGGATTAGTTGTAATTGTAGTTAAATTGTAATTTATTTATAATAAATGTAAATTATATAAAAAGTATAGCATGTAAATATTAAGTTTATAATGTATTAACATATAAATAATAATATTAAATTGCTTTCATATTTAAACAGTATTGAAAAGTAAACACCTAACTTGCACAAATAAAACAACATCTCCAAGATGAGTTACATGTGTTAAAAGATTTATGGTTAGAAATAAGGAATTAGAACATAAGGATTCAAAATAATTAGAAACGACTTGGGATTCTTTTCCTATTAGTACAATATTTTTTGTTTCATGGCTTAACTTTTCAAGGAGAAAATTAAAATAGATAGATTAAAATCTAAAAATGGTATTGTTTTTAAGTGGATTTATGACTTAAACAAAAACAAACTCTAGTTTGGAGACATAAATTTGAAGATGGGTATAAGTTATGTAATCAAGATTTAAATTTAAGTAAAGAAATGCACCACCTTTTTTTGACTCTGTTAGACAATGCTCAATATTATATCTTTGTAGACTCAGTAATTCCTATCACTATTTGAGGAGAATTAATGGTACTTAAAAAACTGGAAAGATCATTGATGTGAAATAAAAGAGAAGAAATAGAGATAAATTTCTGTACAAGGAATAATAAATTCATTTAGTTCATTAATATCAAGGTATTTGGATTTAGTTGTTGGATTAATCAGATCGTTTTAAAATAAGGTTTAGAGGTAATTAGGGCAGGGTTGGAAAAAACCCAGGGTTTTTTAAAAAAACCCAACCCAAATGGTTTTTTTTGGGTTTTATTGGTTTTTTTTGGGTTTTATGGGTTTTTTGTTTTTTTTTTTAAAATCGATCAAAATACCAAGTTTTTATAATTGTATGAGTACAATAATTTTTTTTTTTTAATTTCATAAATTCACCTCTCTATTGCTCCAATGACCATTTCAGTCAAGAGAGCAACTCATTTTTTAAAAATTATTTGTCTCAATCCTTAACATTACCATTTTTACTAACAAACAACATTAACAACTAAAATTTTTAAACAAAGGCGCTGTGTGGAGAAATAGATTGAGACAGTAATTTCAGCAGAAGTAATTTGAACCCCAACCTTCTGGTTGCGAGCCAAATGTTTTACTACTAGTCTACTAGCACATTTTACCTATAGTGCAAAAAGGGACTCCATCAACTATAAATGATGTTAATTAATTGCTCAAAATTAAAAACATGTTCAGAACATCTTTGACCAAAAAAAAATCAGTGTAAAAATTATGATAATTGAGTTATTCAAAGTTGGTAAGACAATATAAATGTTGCAAACTAGTTTTTTTTACTAACATGTTCAAAAACTACTTTGCACAAGTTTGCAACATGTAATCAACAAGTTTGCAACATGATGTTGCAACCTTATAAGTTATTATCAATCAGGATGACTATGAACACTTTTTAAACATTTTTGTATCATAGAAGAAAACTGCTAGCCTAATCACTACATTTTTTTTTATCAGAACATTATACTGTCTAGCTTCTTGGAAAAGTTATCGGCCTGATCAACTGGACTGGCAAAAAATGGATTTTTGCCTAAACTTTGTTTCTAAATATATATAAAGTAAATTTGTTAAGAACCATTACAGTGTCTTCGCCACCAAGTTTTTTTTTTCCTTGAAGATGTTTTACCGGCTCAGTTTTGCAATGCAAATTGCAAACTGAATCAAAGTAACACATTATATAGCTCTATTGTGTGTGTTTCTTCACCTTTTAGCAACTTGATACTGATGTTAATTTTCAACCCGCTGTTCATAGTCACCCCTGTTGGTGGTACATGTTGTAAACTTGTAGCTGATGCAAAATATTCAAAACCTGTTAAATATTCAAAAGATAGATGAGCACGAGTGTCATTTTTACCAACAAATCTTGTCTTTGTGAAATGCATTCAAGTTTTCAACATGTTCTCTCATTGAATGAGCAAACATGTTGCAAGCTTGCTTGCACATAACTTAATTTTTTTTAAGTTTTAAAGTTGTATACACTGAAGGAAAAATCTAGTAAACTGTAGCATTTTTTTTTTGCCTGACAACTTTCCATTTCTAAACTGTAAATAAAGTTTAATCTTTATATATAGTATTTTGCTTGTGGCTTTGTATTTTTTTTTTTTTTTTTTTTTTTTTTTTGCAGTTTACAACATAAGCTTTAAAAAATAAAAAATCAAATACCAATATAAAAGAATACAGACATTCGAGAGGAGAATAAAGATACTAAATAACTAGTAATGTCTTGAAATTTAGTTAATAGAATGATTTTTATTTCCTTTATAAGTATTTAACTAATTTAATGTTTTAATGCATATTTCAATAACATTTATAATAACTTGCTAAATGTTTTAAAAAAATAATAAATAACCAACTTGCTACAAAAACAGATTGATCGATTTTGGGTATATCCTAAAGACCATTATGTATATAAATACAGTGTTTACAAGAGTAATTACAGTATAAAGGTTGCACTTGCTGATAATAAAGCATTTATAAGTGTTAAAATCAGAGTTATCAGTTGTAAAATAGGTCATTTTTAAAAAAACCCAAATATATTTTGGGTTTTTTTGGGTTTTATTGGGTTTTTTAAGGTGGGTTTTTTTGGGTTAGGTTTTTTTGCCAACCCTGAATTAGGGGGTTTTGAGATTTTATTTTATAAGAAGAATTCTTGCAGGAGTTTGATTCAGAGTTTGAATCAGAGTTTGCCGAATGGTAACCATGGTATTGTTAAGCAATAATATGTTTGATAAGCAACTAGTTACTTGCAACTTGTTTATATCGAATGGTATATTGTTTGATAAGCAACTAGTTACTTGCAACTTGTTTATATCGAGTCACAGTGACTTGATGTCAACTAGCACCACAATGGTTCGATGTCAATAGCTGTTGAGTCTTTTATACTACAGACATTTTTGGAAAAAAATTACACTGTAATATTATGGTCATCACATAAAAGGAGTTAAGCATTTCCTCAATTTTAGTTGAACTACTCATAAGTTATAGCTATGTCAAATTTTAAAAATATATTTAAAAAATAATAACATGAAATAAACATTTTATAAAATTTTAAAGTTTATTAAAAATATTTTTTCAATATGTTTTGTTTTACTGTATATTTTAATAAATTTGTTAAAATTTAATAAAATAAAATTAAAGTTTAGGTTTATTAAATAAGCTCTTTAAAATTTTAAGGAAATTCAAAGAATATTTTTTTTATTCAGTTTGTTGCCTTGTATAACATTTAAAAAATTAACATTTTCATACATTGCATGTTCCTTATAAATAAAATTTATAAATATATATAAATACTTGTAAACAAAAACTTTTGTCTTTATGTTTAATGGTATCTATTAAATTTGAAAAAATACACTAGATTATAGTTAAAGAGATTTTTCTTATATGTTTTGTTATGATAGTTATTTGTATAACTTAATTAATTTCACAAAAATTTATATATATTATATGTAATAATAATAATATAATAGTATAATATATATTTACTGTAACATCAATATTTAAGATTTAATTTTATCAAGACTACATAATTCTCTGACAATTAATGTTTTAGTAATGGTATCATTCCAACTCCAATATAACACTTCATTAACATTAGGGCTGTACCGGATTTCAGCTCTGGCTTCGGCCAATTTTACAAATTTTAGTCAAATTTTTAAATTTTGGTCAGACATTTATTATATTTTTTTTCGCCCGTGTTTACATGTATACTTAATATTTTATTTATTCAAATCAATGTTCTTTGTAATTCTATATTCTATGAACTCCCTGTAATGGTATGTATTTAAATTTTTTTACAATTTAATTAGTTAAGCCTAATTTTGTAATGGTATCTGTATTTACATTTTTCTACAATTTAATTATTTTAGCCTAATTTCAAATAACAATGCAACAAAAAATTCTAAAGGGAATACACACAATATTCTTAAGTGAAGAAACACGAAAAAGAAGTGAAATAAAGTCTTCTGAAGTGAAGACACAAATTTGGTTAAATATACATTCAATAAAGTTACAGTGCGGAAGGTATCAATGCAAGATAGAAGTCAAGCTGAGCATGCTGAGCAGCAGATTGACAAAATTGAAGAAATTCTAACATAACAAGCCCGGTTAGGTAATTCTTCTACATCATCATCATCATTATTCTGACAATTTATTGATGAAATTGTTCAGACTACGTCCGCTGGTGGCACAGCATATGAACAACAATTACCAACTCACATTGACACTCAGCTAAGCCAGTATCTGGCAGAACCAGAAATAAAGAGACACGCTGATCCATTGCAGTGGTGGAGTGATAACATGCAAAAATTGCCACCTCTTACGATAGTAGCTCGCATTTATTTGGGTGCCCCACTGACAAGTGTACTATCAAAACGTTTATTTAATGTTGCTGGGGAGGTCCTCAATGATCATCGTAGTTCACTCCTGTTAATGCAGCTCGCATAATTTTCTAAAGTGCGATTCAAAACTGATTAAAGATACTTAAGAAAAGTAACTGAAATTGATGTTACTTTAGTTCACTTTCAAATTGAAAGTTTTAATTATCTATTAATTTGTTATGTTATGATATGTTATGTAAAATTGTGTCCTTGTATTTTAATAATAACAATGAAGTTTAACATAAAATAGTTGTCACTTTGTTGAGAATGGTAAACATTTTTGATCATTGTTAATATCAAGTAGGGATGTACAGGATTTCAGCTCCTGTAACTTTGTTTTAAAATCTGGTTTCGGCTTTGGCTCTGGCAGAATTTGAAATCTGGCAAATCCGGCTCTGGCCAAATTTTA